TTTGAGATGTGTTTGATATTTTTTGAGGTGTTTGAGGTGTTTGAGGTGTGTTTGATATTTTTTAGGTGTGATTTGTGGCATTGAGGAGAGCCATATTTATAGGTGTAGGAGAGAGAGTCTTGGAAAAGAAACTTCAATTTGATTGGTCCTTCATGACTAGACATAATCTCTTTCCTTATCCTAAGATTTGATATAATCTCTTTCCTTATCCTAAGATTTGACTTGGTGGGCAAGATACAATTACTTTATTAATTAAATATCTTATTTATCTTAAATTTATGTCCCAAAAATAAATAAAGACAATAATTAATAAAATATTAAAATTTCAATGTCTACAGTGATATGGATATTGGGCTATCAGATTAATTATGAGAGCTCAGTTTAATTATGAGGAATTTGCACCCCATATCGTCATATTATACTTATTTAACATTTTGGAATGGCTCGGCCCCTTCGAATATGAACAATGTTTGAATATAAACAAACATGAGCTTGAAACACAAGCTCGGATAATTTGGTTTGTTTTCAACTTTCCACCATAAGTTGTGGTAGTTTAAAATCGTTTTCGATAACACATTGACACAATTATGCAAGTTTATTATATCTTCTTGTTAGAGTTCGATTGGCTGTGTCCCCACAATAGTATGGGCCCATAAAAATATACAAACAAATAGTTATTAATTTGCCGACCTCAGCCGCCGAATATTACATGTTCAAAGAAAAACTTATAATAGAAATGGAAAAATGCTACAGTCTCGTACGAAACTTTTCCGTCGGGATTTGTAACCATTAGATCACCATGCAATTGTCATGGATAGTTGATCTAACGGTTACAAATCCCGACGGAATGGTTCCGTAACGGGACTGTTGAATCTCCTATAGAAATGAAAGAACAATTCCGCAATTTGTGCAGACAAATGCTGCTAAATGAATAGCGATTCCTCAAAACAGGAAATCGACGAATTTGAGCCAATTTAAGCCTTTCTTATTAGTCGGCTTGTCAGCTTCTCTTGAACAGTTTGAAGCTGACGTGGTAGCCTCTGCAGCCCCATAACTTCCCACAGTGGGCTCCGCCGATGGACAAAGAAAAAAGTTTCTTGAGCCCAAGTCCATTAGTTTCTGGTCCCTATCCAGACCTGCCCACACTGCAAATTGTTACATATTCCATTCAAATTGGGCCCAATTATTCACCACCTAATAATGGATTTATTCGACTGTTCAACTTCATGTTTGCCTCGTTGTACAGTATTTCAATGGCACACGATTTTATGACTTTATTTCGAGAAAAAAAAAAAATGCCCCTATTATTGGGCACAAATTCTTATGTGTGTAACTTTTTAATTGTATTTTTTTAATAAAAAAATATATATTTATGTTATGATCATATTTTTATTTATTTTAATTTTTAAAGTTGATATTTTAAGTTTGAATGAATAAATAAACGCTTCAAAAAGTCTGATTGTCTAATCGTTAAGTTTGCCCAAACATTAATTTATGTAACGACAACTTTAATGGCTTACAAGACTTAGGCTATGCTATGTTTGGTAAAACTAGCTGATAAGCTAACTGATAGCTAATAAGTTTGCTTATAGCTTATTAAAAATTTTCGAGGTTATAACATATAACTTATGACTTATAGTTTAAAAGCTAGCTTATATGGTAAATTATTTGGTAAAATTTACTGATAAGCTAGCTGAAATAAATATTTCAACGAGCTCATTTGAAAAGTTATCCAAAGAAATTTATCCAATAAGCTAAAACTTTTTAAAAAGACCCGTCCCAAACGAAACTCTGAATATAGGAAACTTATAAGCTAATTAAGTAAAATATAAACTATCTTATCCGTCTACATAAAGTAGTCTTAGACATCAATGTTTTTTTTTTTTTTTTTTTGCATTTCTTTATTTTTTCTTAAAATGTTTTGCCTTTTTGATTTAGAAATTGATTGAACAATTTTTGGCGAGTACTTCAAAGTCATGGATGGTTCACTTTATAATAATTTTTTTCAATATTTATCCGAACAAAATTTCAACGAGAAAGCGGATCAATTGGGCTTACTTTCAAGGCTAAACTGCGAGTAATGGAGGTCGAAGCCCGAAGCCCGGCCCGACGGGAGGAAAGGCCGCCGCCCATCCTTCACGTACTCGCCCAGCACCGCCGCAATCAGCTGCTCCACGGTGGCCTCCGGCGGCATCAGCACGTGCAGTGCCCCCGGGCTCCTCTGCACGGTCACGTGCAGCAGCAGCTTCGTCAGCCTCGCCGGGAACTTCCCGGACGCCGGATCCTCCACCGCGGTCACGGCGGACCTCCGCCCGGAAAGCAAGTCCGGCACCGTCCTCGGCCGCGGGAGCATCTCCTCTGCCACGGTGGCGGCGCCCCTGCCGTGGAAGGACGAGGCTTTCTCTGGCGGCCGCCCCTTCCTGCTCTTCGCCGGACCTCCTGATCGCCCGTGACTCTTCGGCGACGGCATCGATTATGAGGAGTATTACTTTGCCGGCAGTGGAAATAATTGTTTTTCTGTATATTCTGAGGTAAAATATATGTTTAGTTTAAAATCACCTCAGGCGGCGGAACCGAAAGAAGCGGGGGCGTGGGAAGCAGAGGGCCGCGGTTGAGAGAGGAGGTTCTCGGCGGCGGTCGGCGGACATAACAAGATTGGCTCGGCGGCGGCGGGAGGAGAAGGAAAGAGATAAGATACAGAGAGAGGGAGAGTAGCTGTTGCTCAATTGCTTGGAACTTGAAAAGTATATAGAAAAGATAATTTTATCCAATCCAAACGAGGGATTGACCTATTATTTTAATGTATAAAAAATGATATCCTCTTTGCAAGTTTTAAGTTTTCTTTTAATTTGTGAGATACATGACATAAAATACTACTACCGTCGGTCCCGTTACGGAACCATTCCGTCATTGTTCTAACCATTAGATCAACTATCACCGACAATTACATGATCATCTAACGGTTACAAATCTCAACGGAATGGTTCCATAACGGAACCGTAGTATTTTCCAATATTGTATCATGACATGTGAAAACTAACTAAATATTGTAAAACATGTTAGGCAGTGCTATTTATATCCATTATAAATGGAATATAGGGGCCACTAATATCAATTAGTATTTGACAAAATGCATTTGTACAAATATAAAATAAAATATTATATGTTATTTATATGCATGTCATATTAAAATTATAAGTTAGATAATGGTAAAATTTAAAAATAGGGTATTATAATTTATAAGTTATACTTTCGGTTAATTCCTCTAAAATCCCCAATGCACACTTGAGTTTCTTTGTCAGTCCCTAAGTTAATTTTTTTCCTCTGCACTCCCTAACACAATTTTTTATTTCCTCTTCACTCCCCATATATATACTAATATTATATTATTCCTTTATTTTGGTTGAAAATCATAAAAAATTAAAAAAAAAAAGTCTCTCTCTCTCTCTCTCACACATTTTCATCGATGGTGTCTCTCTCTTTTTTCCATTGAAGCTCTTCGTCGAAACCTTCGAAATTGGTAGAAAAACGCGGTCTTTAGGGGAATCGAGGTAATCAAAACCCTGACTTCTCCACTCATCGGCCCAAATCCCGCTTGATTTAGCTCTCTACAAATAGATATTATATTTTTCTCCGTTTAATTTCCGATCCGTGATTAAAAGAAACTAAAATTGTAAATTGCCCTTCACCTGCGATTGGGGAAAGTTGGATCTCGGCGGCCTCTTCTTGCTGGGGTCGTGGATCTTGGCGGCGGAGCCAGACGCGTCGCCTCCTCCACGATTAATCGCCGAAATTTATCTGTTGATACTCAAATTTCAGGTATCCATAATTAGTTTCCTATGTGCTCAATCATCCTTTTGAGTTTTCCCTTTGTTTTGCTCCCCAATAGCTTCCCAAAAAGTTTTTTTCGTTATCTCTGATTTTTTTTCTTTTTTTTTTTTATTGTGTAAGGATATAGGAATGTTTTGCTTGAAATATCCTTGTTTCTCGGTGATGAACAAACTATGAAACTCAATAGCTTTGAGTAGAGCTGTGTTGTTTTTTCTTACTTGTGCATGGCATTGCTGGAAATATATTAGGAGGTGTGATATGTTTTTGACTCTTTTTTAGTGAAAGTTGTTACTTTGTTTATGATGAGAGATTTTGGGATGTTCTATTTTTGTTGGATGTTTAACCAGCTCAATACATGCATTAAGTATTTGCTCGAGGTCCAATTTAATGTGGGGAATGGTTCTGCATCTCAACATGTTTATTTGATGCTAGATATCGACTGCCCTAGGCCATATTGACTTTATAAAATTTTACATTTTTGTTTTGAGAAAAAACAAGCCAATGCAGGTAAGGTTGTGAGAGTTTCAATGATGCTTCAGCTCATGGTAAAACAAGGCTACTGTGAACTTGGGATCATATGAAGATTCAGTCTTGTTTAAAATTGAATGATTTCATTTTGTGGAATTGGGCACTATTGTTTTAGGTGACTTCTGCTTATGAAAAAGTTTATTATGAACACCATTCATATGGAGAGATATGTTTATCCCATAATTTGCTATGAGTTTTCACATGGGTCCTCCTGTTACTTTAGCTTGTATGCATCCATTTTTGTGTATTTTACTCACAAAGTCAGTTTGTGGAACTTTATTGACGCAGGAATTTAATGCTCACTCTTTTGTTTATATCATTAGTTCTTTCTTTCAGTTAATCCGTGCAACCCCCGTGATTTTACACATTTCTTTTGAACTCTGCCAAGTACTTTATGTGTCCTGAAAAAATTTGTAGGTGAAAAGTTGGCGTCCTTTCTAAACTAAGGGACTAAGATTTATAGAATGGTCTTCAAGGAAGGAAACTGAAGGATTGTCAGCAGTGTCCCCATATGATGATTATGATTTGTATTTTTTTTCTCGGGTTTTTTTTATTGGAGATCCGAACGTATCTTTGCTTGTGGCCGGTATTTAGGGGCTGGATTTCGGGTCGGGAGGCATTAGTTTGAATTTTTGTATGGAGAGGTAGAAGTCCAAAGCTGTGTATTTTTGTTGTAGTTTGTTACAGTACAGTGATTTGTTACAGGCAGAAGACCAATAATCACTCTCACATAAATTTATGTGAGTTTTAAAATGTTTAAATTGAGTTTAATCGTAAAATGGTCATTAACTCGACACACTAATGAGAAAACACTACTAATACACTTCATTTTATTGAATGACACTTTGTCTCATAGAATCATCATACGTGACTACTCAAAATTCTACCTATATATTTTTACTTTCATTATTTTTCATCCAAATCAAGCGTGAACGATCCACGTGTGAGGGTAAACATGAAGGATTATAGAAATCACGATTCTTAAAATAGTACATATTAGCCAATATAGTACCACATATTCTTCAACGTGGTATCTGTTTTTGATCAATTAGTACAAACTTTTGGTCAACAAAAATAGATTATAAAATTGCGGTCAACATTTGCAATAATTGGTACTAAACTTAAAGTAAGATAGTACCAGTTTCGGTGTTTTAGTACCAGCTATCGGGTCTTTAGTACTAACTCCAACGAACATAAAAAAAAAACACCAAATTTTGGTCCCATTATCGCTTTCACATTAATTTCCATGAGTTTTAAAATGTGTTTAATTGAGTTTTATAGCAAATTGGCCACAAAATCAATACACTAATTAAAAAACACTAATACATTTTATTTCATTAAAAGGCATACTTCATTTCATTGAATGCTATGACTACTAAAAATTCTACCTATACGTTTTAACTTCTATAATTTCTCAACCAAATCATGTGTCAACGATGCACATGACACGATAGACATGGAGGATTAAAGAAATCATGATTACTAAAACGATACCAGTTTTGACAGAAATAGTACCGCTTATTCTTCTGCATAGTACCTGTTTTTGATATATTAGTACCTACTTTTGGTCAACAAAAATGGATTACTTAAATTTTGTCATTTGCAAAAATTGGTACCAAGCCTAGAGTAAGATAGTACCAGCTTTAGCGTGTTTTAGTACCAAATATGGGGTATTCAGTACCAACTCCGACAAACATAAAGAAACACTAAATTTCGGTCTCAAATGATGTTTATATGATCCATTATCACACCCACATTAGTTTCTATGAGATTTAAGATATTTTTAGTTACATTCAATCATAAATTGGTCATGAACTCAACACAGTAATGAAAAGAACTGCTAATACACTTCATCTCATTAAAATACACACTTGATCTCATTGATTGATCATACATTACTAATCCAGATTCTACATATATGTTTTAACTTCCACTATTTCTCAACTAAATC